ATTAAGATCAAATTTAACAGTTTCGTCAGCATTTGCGTCAATAATGTTTTTAAGTTCTAAAAGTTGACTTCCATTCATATTCATCATTTTTTGAACAACGTTTCGAAGTTCGTCATTACTTCTTTCTGGAATTGATTCATCAACAGTATCCAATAATGCTGAATTTATAGGTGGTGGTTGAAAAGATGAACTGTCATCAACCTTTTTACTCTTTTTTATTTTATTCTTTTTAAAAAAGAATGGGTCTTTAAAATCTTTTCGTTCAATTTTATCTATTGGTTCAGGTGAGATAAGTTCAATTGAATCTTTAAGTTCTTCTGTTAATTTTGCAATCTCTTTTTCTATCTCATCTTTTCTATTAATCAAAAATGTTTTTTCACTTTTAAGGTCATCAAGAGTTTTGTATTTATCTTCCATAATAATACGTTTTGCAAATTTCCCAATGAGATTTTCAATCTTCTTCTTTTTTAATGTCGTTTCTCCATCAAGAAGACCTCTTCCTTCTCTTCTTCTTTCTTTACTATTATCATCAGGCATAATATATTGAATTTCAAATTCTTTCACTGAATCAAGACACATTTGTGCAACTGCTGCTGTTGGAGTTCCTTCTCCATACGCTTCAATAAGATTAGTAAATAATTCTTTATATTCACTTACAACAGATCCATCATTTCGTTCAGTGATTTCATCAATTTGTCTTTTAACATCCATATTGTCATCAAAAAATGATAAATAACAATTTTTTTGTAAATATTTAAACAGTTCATTTGCAAGAAAATCACATGTTTTAATTGTATCCAAATCACTTAACATCCTCACTTGTTTTTCTCTTTTTAATGACATTTTTGTGTAAAATGATAAAAATGTTATATTTTTTTCAGTTATTCTTTTATTTTTTATTTTTGTCAAAATAAACACAAATATTTTATTCAAAACCATTATTTATCTTTTTCTAATAATTCTTTTAGTTGTAACAAACCCATGTTTAAAATTAAATAGTTTGTTTTTATTCTAATTG